TGTTGATAAAATAATTTAGGAACCCAGTGGGCTTCGGGGAAGCTCTCCCTAGACCCAGTGCATCTCACCTCAGTACCACCAGTGACGTGCCAGCTGGCTGAGTGACATGTCTACCCTCTTGATATTTTGCTTTTAATTAATCCTTTTGATCCATAGAGCCATTTGGAACTAATGCTAACAAACAGGAACAGCTAAATTCATTGATGGCAAGGTCACTGCTGCAGACCAGAGCTTCCCAAGGTCTATCTGTTGACCATTTGCATCAAGGCACATGGCTGCTTAAAAATATGCAGATGTCAGGGCTGTACCACAGACATTCTGACCAAGAGGTGTGTTCAAGTCGTAGCACAGGGATGATTAGCACAGATGGAGACTTGTTTCTTATTATGTATTCTGGTTTCTCCAATTATGAAAGTACAATAATATATAATGTGAAGATCTATCCAAAAGTTTTAGAAAAACATAATCAATATGTATGAACACACTGGAAGCACTTCATGTGGCCTGTGGCACCCTCATGACCTCATGACACTGTATATGCAGCCTCTACCATCACCTGACTCTTTTTCTTTTTTCAAATTTTATTTTTATTTTATGTGTATGAGTGTATTGCCTGCATGTGTGTAAGTGCATCCAGGTGGTGCAATCCCCATGGAGGTCAGAGGAGGACATTGGATTTCCTTGGAACTGGAGTTACAGATGGTTGTTAACCACCATAGGGGTGCTAGGAATTGAACCCGGATCCTCTGCAAGAGCAAACAGTGCACTTAACTGCTGAGTCCTCTCTCTAGCCCCTTATTTGGTTCTGAATAGATCCAGTTAATTAAATATATGGCTATTTATTATATAATTCTTGAGTTTCCAGTTTTCTTTCATTTCTTCCTTTAAAAAAAAGAATCTAGGCCTCATTGGCATAGTCTCTCTCTTTGTTTTTTCTTTCTTTCTTTCTTTTTTTCTCTTTGGTCTTTTTGAGACAGGGTCTCCCTGTAGCCCCAGTTGGCCTGGAACTCACTATGTAGACCAGGCTGGCCTTGAACTCACAGAGATCCGCCTGCCTCTGCCTCCCAAGTGCTGGGATTAAAGGCGTGCGCCACCATGCCCAACTTCTTTTCTTGGTATAAGAAAAGCAAATTTGGGCTGGAGAGATGGCTCAGTGGTTAAGAACACTGGCTGTTCTTGTGGAAGACCCAGGTTCGAACCCCAGCACCCACATGGCAGCTAACAACTGTCCATAGCTCCAGTTCCAGGGGATCTGACAGTCTCTTCTGTCCTCTGTGGGCATTGCACGGCACTGGTGCACTTACCTACCTACATGCAGGCAATACACACATACACATAAAAGTAATAAATAAAATATTTTTTAAAAAAAGAGAATTTAAAATTATCCCATGTATATAGTTTTGAAGGATAAGAAATTAGCACACAGTCATTATGAATGCAATCAGCATTACCTTTGAAAATACTATTAATTTCTCAAAGAGTGTTTCATACTTTCAGTGTTAAGTGTTGTATGGCAGATATGAATGGAGGCGTCATTTTTTTCATAGTTCATTATGTCCAGATTCTGACATGAAATATAGCGGGACAAAAAATGGTTGGTCATTACCGACCACGTGTTCCCGAAAGATGTAAATGTCTCAATGAGAAGACACCATAAATTTCTCATTGCTCTACAGTGGCATATAGTTAGATATGGTTGACTAAGTTGATTAAGTATAAATATTAAGGACTTTAAGTCTATGCTCCCAAAGCAGTCTGCTTCTGACAGTTTGATGCTGAGGACATACCAAGGCATTGCCATTAAATGGGTGTTTACTCTGAACATGTGAGCCTGCGCTTATAGTTCTTTCTGTGTGTGTCACGTGGTACTTTGCCAGCTCAGTTCTGCAGAACACATTAACCATAGCTACCAGGTTAGCCTGGAGGATGCACACATTAGGACCCTTATCCTGAAGCACCTGGGAAGAACTTGGCCCCTTTTGAAATATGGTTGGTTCTAAGTAGTATAAAATCCTGAAGCTAGTCACAGTAAAGTATACTTTTGAAGCTGTTTTTTCCTCAGGCACTTCCTTCCTATGGACTGCCTGTATAAGAGGTTTGAACATGTTCTATATACTAATGACATTCATTAATCGTCCCATTCAAATTCCTACTAGGTTCAGACCTAAACATTATGATACATGTTTATTCTGCTTGTGGCTCTTTATAACACTCTGGGCCTGGGGCTGTGAGTTCTAACAGTTTTTCATTCATGAAGTAAGACAGCCTTACATTTACTTATTAATTTAGAAACAGGCTAGCTTGAAGCTTCACACATAGCTGAGGCTGTCCCTGAATTAGCAGTCTTCCTGCCTCAGTCTCCCAAATGTTGGGATTGCAGTATGCATCACCATGCCAAGATTTCCTTATCTTTATTTTGTCTAATAAGTAGCTCTTTTGTGCTTCCTGGGTACAAGACTTTCTCAACATAAAATGCCAAGATCTTCAAGGACAGAGAGTCTGTTCAGTGTCTACAGTGGACATAGTAGTCTCCCCGACCCTTCCCACTCCTTCCACCTTCCCACAGTGAGCATAGCACAAATCCTTCCTGACTGGAGCTGAAGTTGGAATGCGGTTCAGTTCCGCAGCATTGACTCTATATGTTCTTTCTACTCCAACTGCTTCTCCTTTTACAAAATTCTAATGTTTGAAATGCCTATGTAGAGAAGAATTGTTGGCATCAAAGGTCACTTCCTCTTGGGTGCAGTTTGTAACCCTCCCATTAAGTTTTTCTGGTGGGCTTTGACAAGAGCTCCAAACATATTATAATTTTGAAATAATTAAGTTCCAAATTCAGATACCCTGCTATCTTTTAAAAACTAATTTGGATGAAAAATAAAGGGAGGGGGGCTTTTTGGCCACAGCAAAAAATATTGTACAAAATATTTTAATTTAAACCCAATATACATTAAACATTTTCAGAAAGCATGTTATAAGCATTCTTGATTATTTTTCTTTTGGTTTTAAACAAAACTACCATTTTCTGTCTGCAAAAAAATTTTAAAAACTCTAGAACATTAAGATGTAATTACAAAAGTGACAAGGGGCTGCACTTTAGGCTGTGCAGCAGATGGCTGCATCAGACTACCTGAAAGTGGTCATTGCATAACAGTTGGTCACGTGGCAGGGGATTTCATTTTTCAGGGCACTTAAAAGCTTCATTCTCCATCCACTGCTATTATATTTCACTGTCAATTTGAAGGACATGAATGATTCTAATCTCAGATTTCACAATCAGCTTTTAGAGCCAGGACATAGTTGGTGCTTAAAACAGCTCAGTGTAGATTATTGTATAATTATAGTAAATGACAAAATAATATAATTAATCTTAATTACTTCTCCAAATTAAAGTGTTTTGGGAAAAAAGTAAAACAAGGCAACGTGTATCAGCACATGCATTTAAGTATTGGTTCAAAAATTGAAAGTAGCAAATATTAAACCAGGGAAAGAAGCTGAGACACAGCTTTGGGCAAACATGAACGTGGAGGTGCAGAATACACTTGATTTGCCCTTTTTTGTGGTTTCATTTTTTGAAACATGATCTTTCTATGTAGCTCAGGCTAGTCTCAAATTCATGATCCTCCTGTCTCAACTTCATCAGTGTTGGCATTATCCGCATGCACCCCCACACTAGATGGACCTGCTCTTATGTTAGAGGGTTCTCATTAAGAGGCTTTGTATCAGCAAGTCACTAAACTTTAAAACATGCATCCACTTGATGATACAAAACCGATTTTTAAAAATTTTATTTATTATTTTTATTTCATGTGTATGCATGTATTGCCTGCATGTAGGTAAGTGCACCCATGTCGTGCAATGCCCACGGGTGGGTACTGGGATTTGAACCTGGGTCTTCTGCAAGAACAGTGTTCTTAACCGCTGAGCCATCTCTCCAGCCCCACAAAACCGATTTTAAAGCTAATTATTACAACCATATGAAAGGCTCCTTGTTCCCAGGGGCAGTGACTTCATTCCTCATATCACTCAGCACCTGCGCTGTTCACTTGGACACAAACAATCACAGACAAGAATGACAGGAGTAAAGCGCTCCCTGCTAGGACAACCCCTCCGCTGAATGGAAGGAACTCTTGTTGGCAAAATATTTACTTAGAGAAAGGGGCAGAGGTATAGAAGCATATCTGAAATAAATCCACATGCTTAGGTCAGCTAAGGGTGGTTACTTTATTTTCATATCACTTAGATAATAAATGACTATATATATATATATATATATAGTGTTTTTAATTCTGTCTTCAAAGTGACTCTTACTAACAGATTTATTTTTCCCCTATCTGAAGAGGCTTCTTTTATCTCTAGCCAGAAGCATATATCTCTGCCTAAGAATTTTATTGTAGCTGGGTATGGTGGTGCATACCTAAAAGCTCACACTTGCAAAATTGAACAAGGAGGATTTTGAGTTTGATGTCAGCATGGGCAGCCTAGTGAGTTCTTGTCTTAAACAAATACACAAACACAAAAACAAAACAACAGGGGCTGGAAAGATGGCTCATTGGTTAAGAGCATTTGCTATTTTTGCAGGGGAACCTGGGTTCAGTCCCCATCACCTACACTGGGTGGTTTACAGCTATGTGTAACTACTAGTTCTGGAGGAAGTGATGCCCTCTTCTGGCTTCCGAGGGTACCTAAATGCACATGGTGCACATACATACAATTGGTCACACATACATACACATAAAATGAATAAAATCTAACCCCCCTCCAAAAAAAACCTTCAACAGTCCAATGTAATTTGTTTGTTTGGTTGGTTTTTTGAGAAATGATCTCCTTGTAGTCCCAGCTGGTCTGAACTTGATATGTAGACCACGCTGGCCTTGTTCTCAAAGAGATTCTCCTGCCTCTGACTCCTGAGTGCTGTGACTAAAGGCATGAACTGCCATACCTGGCTTATGGTAAATCTTTATAAACAAGTTTTTATTGTTGTTGAGCTGAAAAATACTAACCTTAAGGTTGGACAAACAGTTGTTGAGGAAAACATGCCACCTGTTCAGGAACAGTTGCTTCTGACTGACACAGAGCAGACAGGTCACCAGGGGGTATAATGCCTGAGAAGAAAGGAGTTGAGGTCACAGGATGACTGACAATTCAACAAACCAGGAAACACATTCTCTGTACCCACTGCTTCACCACCTCCCCTGTGGCCACGTGGGCCAGAATAAACAGTATTGTGCCACGCAAGTCCATGGGTACCCAGCAGAGGCAGGCATTATGTAAGGGCTTTCTGATAATAAGCAGATGGAATCATCTAGAACTATAGCTAGTGTACAGAAATATGTATGTTTCATGTACAATAATATAGAAAGCTGACTGATCATGACTGATTTAATTCTCACTTATAAACATTAAAAAACAAACTTGCCATATTAGATCATTCTCTAAACCTCCAGAAAAACAAAACAACCATGAAGGCACATTGATTTTGAAAATGTTATTGGCTTTTCTGCTTATAAATATCTACTAGCTTGTCCTTGGTCTTAGAGGTATGTGTGTACACACATACACACACACACACACAAACACATACACACATACACACACACATTTTTGCTTGCAATCTTCCTGTAATTAAGGAAGATTCCTGAAAGAAATGTTATTGCATTGGTAAACTTAACCAAAACAAATTTAACCGCAGGAGGAATTTGCTTATGATGGAATAAACAGAGGTGCTACTGTGTTTTTGCTGCTTAACTGGCCCCTTTCCCACAGCAACTGGAGAAGACAGCAAAGCCAGCAGGCAGCTATCCAAAGAACATGCACACACAGCTCATCATGATTTTGCTCAACTGGGTAGGTAGCACACACCTTGAGGGATAGAAAAGACTGAAACAGAATCATAGCCAGCATCTCTATTAACCTGGACTAGCAAGAAGCAATGGCCAATGGATAGCTTTGTGCTCCACACTTCAATCCAGCATTTTTCTTTTTTATATTAACTTAGTCTGAGAGGACCTTGAACTACCACGACTATTGAATGCAACTCTAATGCCAGTCAATAAATGCAAGCAATTTATCACAATGATCATAGATTATAGAGAGATGAGCACATTCATTACCACTACCAACAAAGCAACTGGGAAGCTGCTCAAAGCATGATTTGGTATTCATGCTTTGGAGAGCAGCATAAACCAGATCTGTAGCCAGTGATCTAACTATCCACTTCCCTTAGACTATCACAATTTTGGTTAGCATACCACTTGCCAGTTTAATAAGCCAGAACTTTATTCACCATATGGCAACTTAAAAGACTTCATGTTGCCTTCCCAAGAATTACTTCCCAACCTTTAGAGAATCTTGCCTATGGGCAATTGTCTATTTCAAATCTCTCTTCTTTTCTGGGTTCAATTTTGATTTTGAGTGTCAGGATAAGAATTAGGCAGTATAGGTTTACTGATGGGATTGAGAAGAGAAGCTATTATAAACACTAGCTTTTAGACTTGAAAAACTTCTTAGAAATTCAAACAAAAATTGAGTTAAGCCAATCTTAAAAATGAACAGCTGAGTCTGTAGGACTAGAAGGGTCATCTGAGGTGATGTGGTGTAATCCCCTTATACTATGGTGATTCATGGGTCAATGCTAAAAGCAGACTCTAAGTTTGAGATGCCGAGACTTTTCAAGGCAGCTACAGGTAATTCTCCCATCTGTGAATCCACATGACTTTCAAATAGACAGGTTCTGCATGTGTGATGGTTGTCTGGATTGTCTCATAGTTACTAACCAAGGAATGCTTCTTTCGAGAAGAAAGTTCCAGTGTGGTATCATAGAGACTTTCCACGAAGTTTCTAAGACAGGGAACGTTGACTTCATTTTTAACAGCCTGAAATAGAGACACATGTGACTGTCTTACTAATGAAATTGTGTGTGCATAATCCAATTGGAAGAAATTCTTAGAAATGAAAATGCAACTCACAGCAGCAACGGGGACAAGAATTTCTACAAAAAGCCCAGCCAAAGCATGTTTGATATCTTTGTCTTTGACCTCCAGGAAATAATGTGCACATTCCTAGGGAGTGAAAAAAAAGAGGGAGAGAGCAGACACTGAAACGTACATGTGAAATATACTTAGTAATACCTAGTTAAATCCTGTAAACCAACATACCATATTGTTATCTATTAAAAATCACTACATTCAAGTATTTATATGGAGTCCAAATGTCATTTCACAAGACTTGTTTTTCTCTTTCTCCCCCTATTTGTACTTCAAATAACTCTTCTGAAAGGACAAAGCATCCCCAACCTGTAAGCACACAGGCCATCTACTGAATTTCTGGCTGCTTTATTCAATCATTCATTTTCAACAGATTTCTATTGATAGCTTGCCCTGTGTGAGGTCCTGGGCCCTTGATCAGCCCACAAACACAGATCCCCAGGGTAGGTAAACATGGGGAGAGGCAAAAGACAGTAGGTTCCTGTCAGGTCTAGTGCCTGACAGTCTGGCGTACAGAGCCGTTCACTTGCTTGCCTGACATCTTAGGTGTTTATTATTCAGATCATTTCTTAAGCAAATCTGGAAGGCTTCCCTTCACCTCACACAAGTAAACCTTTGGAACACTTCCTTAAGCAGGATGTCTTTTCTTGCAAAACTACTGGCTACCAAGATAATGTATTTTTGGCTTCCTGGGGACTCACTCTACAGGAAAGTTGGCCTGTCTGAATTCTGCCAGCCCCTCTCTTCTTTCAGACTTTATGTTAGTGATAGGAGTCCAAGTCTGCTTCAGTTATGACATGTTTATGACTACACTAGCTCTTACTGTTAATCTAGCAAAAAGAATCCCAAGATCTTCAGTCAATATACCAAATCTCAGCCCTGTTGGGCAATCTAATCCTAGGAAGTCACTGAGATGGACTGCCCACATAGAAGGAAGCTTTGGTTCCCAGGTGCCCATCCCCTTTTCTGCATTATTCTGCACATATGTGCAAATATTCTCCCAAGTGGACATATAAATGTATGTATTATTAGCATCTGTAAGTGGAATAATAGTTAACAGTTGCTGAGTGCTTAGCATGTACCAAGAATCCTCAGAGCCACTCCCTAAAATTAGTGCCATTATGGCCACCTTGCAGATATGGCAAATGAGCTGGGATGGAGAGGTGCTAAGGGATCCTGGCAAAGCTCACAGAATTGATAAATACTGTGAGGTGAATTAAAACCCAGGAAGGTTTTACACAGCAGTCATCCCTAAAAATTAACTTTATTGAGATATAGTTCACATTCCATGCAGCTCATTCACTTAAAATGTCTTGTTCATTAAAAAAAAAAAAAGTCTTATTCATTGACTTACTCTATATTGACAGTTGTATACCTATGCTACAATACCACCTTTTAACACCCTCCAAAGAAATTGTGTACCTTTTGGCAGTCACTTTCTACCTCTATATCCACTACTGGCCTGAGCCCAAGGCAATCCATTAATCTATTAATTATACTTTCTGTCTCTGTGCATCTGCCTACCGTGAACAGTTCACTTACATGGATTCATATAGTATGTGACCTTTTGCTTGGCAGGATCCTTTCAAGGGTCACCTTTGCTGCAACAAATATCAGTGCTCACTAGGCCCCACTACCATCCCATTGCATGGAAAGGCCATATTTTGTTTATCTGTTTATCAGTTCAGAGATAGACTATTTCCAATTTTTGGCTTCTGTGAAAAATACTGCTATGAACATTTATGTTCAAGGGATGTATTTTCATTTCTCTTGGGTATTTATACTGAGGAGTGGAGTCACTAGATCATTTCGTAATTCTAGGTTTAGCCACTGGAGGACCAGCCAGACTGTTTTCCACTGTGGCTGTGCTGCTCTGTTCACACTGGCAGTGCATGAGGATTTCAGTTTCTCTATACTGTCCTCGTCCATTCTCATCTTTTTGACTGTGGCCTTTTGTTTATTGAAGTTGTACAGCCTTTATTCAAAGTTCACACATCTAAACTCTCTGGGAAGATCAACACCAAATCTAGTTCACAGCAGCATTGGAAAATTCCCTTCAGACATAAATCTTTACTGTCAGTTCTTAGTGGAGCAGCACATTCTGCTAAAGTCTCATTACCATCACAATGAACTGGGATAATCATTTCAAAATTAAGCCTTCTTTTCTTTTTTCTTTCTTTTTTTTTTTTTTTTTTTTTTTTGTTTTCCAGGGTTGATTGATTAACTGCTTGATTTTTGCAGTACTGGAGACTGAGAATAATG